TAGTTATTTAATGGGTAAATTAATTGCGTGGTCCCTTGGGTTTTGAAGATTTGTTAGATTAACCCTCATACTTTGGTTTTGGGCATGATAACCCTTGCACTTTTGGTTTGTAGTCAGCTGTGATCTTGCCATACAATTTATGCTGGTTAGATGTTCATCACATGCTTGCAGGAGTACATATGTAAATGGATAAAGGGACCATATGTGATCATAGATTCAAAGTGTGAGGGTTGAATTGATTAAAGTTAAAAGTAGCGGGTAGTTTAACCAATTTTTTAAACTTGAGAGACCACATGATGAATTCATTTATCATTTAATTGCAATGGTGCCATTGGAATCTTTAGGATCTATATTGATATTGATGAAAATTTAAACTATAAATGCTAAAGTAAAGTAACAATAAATTGACATGGACTAAAATAGAGTTATCCATGTTCTTGACAAATTGCTCAATAGTTGGTTATCAAAACTTAATTAGTATTTTTTTTCCAACTTGATTAGGATAAGAATTACGTATGTCTATTGTTTTCTCTATATAATTTACTCATAAAAAACTAGTTGACGGATAACATAAATTAGATTTTTTTTTAAAATAAAAATAAAAACGAAGATAAAAAGAAGTAAGTCTATTATATTTTGTTAACATTCAATATTGAAAGTAAAATTCTTTTTGACTTATACTAAGCTATAAAATAGGTTTTGTAGTCAAGAAAGACAAAAATAAAGATACTATTTCGATAGGTATTGTTATACAAACAATATTATTTTATTATAAAATATTAGATCCAAATAAAACTATAATATTAAAAATTGAATTGTAAAACATAAAATAGTTCGTTTAAATAATAATTCCATACAATTATTCTAAACAATTTACTCTTTAGCAGATGGATATGTCTTGAAGTAATGGAAAAGTTTCAAAAACTACATGGGGCAAATGTTTAGAAAAAGAAGGGGCAAATTAAAAATCCTTAAACTATCAAGTACTATTGTGAAATTTTTGAAAACATTTAAGCACCAACTGCCCATCTTATTTCATATGTAGCTCCGCGCCTGGTTACACAGGCAGTAGTCATTGTCGCAGTGTTGGACAAGGTGGTAACATTTTGGACGATTATGGTGACGAGAGTTTTGAGACTATTGGTACTAAGAAATTGTACGCATATCTGGGAAGATGAATGCCTGAATGCCTCCATTACATTTTCTCAAGGACACCCGCAAATTTTCATTCTGCAGATGTGGAACTCTGCATAGCAATCATGAAGAGGTCAAAGGTCTAGGATGTTATTTTATTATTTTATTTGTATTAACAGTATCTTTTTACTATTTTTTTTTAATTAATTATGTTCCTCAATTCTTAATTTGAATCTTAATTTCATCTCTCAATTTAATTTTTTTAATAATTGCATCAATTTTCAATGATAGACACACAAGATGTTGACGCATAATATTTTGTGACGCGAAATATATTTTTTTTCAAAAAAATTGAAAAAATCCCAATATAATCTCTTTTTTTTTCTATCTTTACGTATAGAAATAAATAATTAATTTCATTCTTCATTTTTTTTTTTGATAGTTTTCTATTATAGGAAGAAACATAAATAATTTTTTTTTTCAGAAATTTATTATGAAAATCAATATCAAGTCCAAACCGAAAAAAGAAAAAAATTATGAATTTTCTTATATGATTTGAAATAAATTTTTATGATACATTTCTGAAATAAATATAAAAAAATTTGCTTCTATTCTTTCTTATACATAAAAATAGAGAGACAAAATTAAAACATAAATTAAAAATAAAGGGACATAATCGTTGAAAAAATTAGTAAAATGATAGGATTAAAAAAATAAAACAGCAGATAAACATATTGAACCTTTAACCGAGTAAGTTGATGAGTTAAAATCCGAATAGTTTCTGCTTGCTTACGTGAGTGCATAATTCAGTAGATTTTGATTCTTTCTGACATCTTTCAACTTTGGAGGCCACTGTTCGGTCTTTTAATAACGACCATGTCTCCTAATTCTTTCATCGCCAATAAAAAGAGTCAACTACGGAACAAGCAGCGCTTGAAATCAGAGGTAATTTCATTTTGCGTACCATTGAAATGGAAAGATCCTTCCGTCTTAAGGCCATTTAATTCATCAACACCTTTAAGTCAAAACTGAAATCGTTTTGAACTAGCTACTGCTCATAAACTCTCCACCTAACAATTTTTCGAACCAAGTCTGTTTTATTTATCTTATTAGCTTTGTTTAAGGAAAACACAGTACCAAGTTTCGTTTGGAGGCCAACTCTCGTTTACTGTTAAAAGCCACCACATTCTGTATCAAAATAATAGTTCGTTTGTTTGAAAATAACATTCAGTCTTTGGTAACTTGCAGGAGGACCAAATCAGTCATTTCCTGGTGGATGATGGAATTCAATGGCATGAAGATTAAAGATGTTACAAGTTCTTTATTGGTGCTCTGTGCGACAACAAATTCCAGAAACTTACAATTAATCTATTTCTGTTCTTTTTTTTTCCTTGCCAACTAGATTAGATTCTTATTATTATTATTTTTTAACAAGCAGATTGGAGTTCAACGTTTATTTAATTAATTATTTTTTTTTGTTCCATTCAATAAAAGGCGACTTCTTTTTTTTTTTCAATAAATTGTGGAGTATTTAGACCATTTGTCATGTTGGGTGTGTCGTGATCAATGATAATGACTTATCTGTCAAAAGCATTTTGCAAACCTTAGCCTACTTTCATTTTAATGTCGAAAACAGTTTCTTTCTTTCCATTTTTCTTTTTAATATGGCATGTTTGAGCATATGTTTGATTCTCGAGGCACTTGGAGTCTTGGTTAAGATGGAAAATTGCTCTGCCTCCGCAGTTATTGAGTTTGATTTGTAGAATTGAGTAGGTGGGAATTCTTCCAGCAACAGCAGTGAAAACCTAGGATTTGCTTACAGTTGATGTTATCCTCAAGGAAATCAAGTATTCAACGACATTGAACATATATGTTTTTTTTTTTTTGATGAATCAAAGATTTTATTCATAGGAAAACCGACACAAGCAGGGCTTATGATATGCTACAGAGCCAGGAAAACACAAACAACAAGAACAAACTCAGAAACACGATCCGGTTTTATTTATTTATTTTGTTAATAAAATTCAATTCTCTTCGGGGCAACATCACTGCTTTGAGCTCCCAACTTCTGGGTCCCGTGAAGTGCACGTGTTTGGTTTAGTATGACAACTGGTCAGTTTTTTCGTGTTACTCTATATATTTATTTCAATTTAATAGAATGTATTATTCTGTTGATTAATTAAAATATATTAAATTAAAGATAAAGAATAAAATTTCATAGTTTTTAATAAAAAATGTTTTAAATTTTTGTATGGGTATGTTTTTTTATAAATTTTATAGTTAAAAAAGCACGATTTGTTGTTTCTTATGCATTTTTTCTTAAATAAAAACCCATAATAATTTAGATATAAAATTTTTAAAAATATCATAATAATTTTTTCATATCATTGCAATGAATAAATAAAATAACAATTAATATAAAAACTTGTATAAAAAATAAAAAAATATTTTTTTCTTATTTAATACCGATTATAAGATTAATTTTTGAAAAATATGTATATTTTATTTATATATATTTGTTTATAAAATAATAAATAATATTAGTATAAAAAGTTATATTTGAATTATAAAGTTGTTCTTCTAAAATATTATTGTAATTAACATATTTGAAAGAGTTTAATTTTAAAATATGTAAAAAAAAAAAAAAGGTATGGTTCGTGTCATGTGTGGAGATGTATAATTAGTTTTCAGTAAAATTAACATGACCATACTAAGTAGGTGAAAGTGTAAAATATAAATAAAAAAATATTTAAAAAATTGTAAAAAATACATTGAAGTTAATAGATTTTAATAAAAAAAATTACAAAATTGGTTCCAATAAAAATTGATTATATAAAGAAGAGGCAAATAAAAAAAATTAAAAAAAGTATTTAAAAATTCATACATAGAGAAAATAAATTATATTTGTTAAAAAATAAAATTAAATAGAAAATTAAAAATTAACTTGATGAGAATTTTTATAAGAAATGAAAAATTAAATAGATTAATTTTAAATAATTAGAATAATATAATTTGAATACATATGTTCATTCTAAAATTTAGAAACATATAGTATATATTTCATAATCGTTATTATGTATGAAAAAAAACCAATGATTATTTTTTTATTTTTTAAAATCCAATTCAATGATAAAAAGAAACCTAAATTAATGGAAAAAAAAGAAAAAAAGCAAACAGAAAAAAAAAAAAAAAAAAGGAGAAAAAGAGAGGCAGGCCTGCGTGCTTGGCTTCTGCAGGCCCAAGTCAACTCTGCCCGTATGGGTAAGCAGAAGCAGGCCCAAGGCATGCTGGGCGCCTGGCCTTTGTAGAAACAGTCCAGAGGACCAAAATTTTCTTTTAAAAAATAAGGGATAAAAACAAAATGCAGTGCAAAAATTGCAAATTAACGTCCAAAAACAATTAAAAAATTACTCTACTGTCACTCCCATCCATAGTAATCTGCGAAGAAATAAACACTGAAAATAATTATTCATTCGCTGTTGATTTTCCATAGATCTTTTGGTTTTTCTGCTGACGGGGCATATTAATGCCATATTCCGTTCTGCGGATCTCTAGCAAGCTGTTTGCCAAGCACAGCAAAAGATTTAACCGTTTCCAGGATTCGAACTCAATACCTTCTCGACCAAATTTAAACCAGCGAACTAACTTGGGTTAAACTAATTTAAATGGCATTCCATTTTTCTATAAATCAGACGACGTCGTATGATTATAAAGTCAAAACTTCAATAGCATCTATCCAACCCAAATTCCAAACGCTGCACAACGCAGGGAGTCCTCTGTTTCTCATAAAATCTTTCTTAACGACCAAACCCTAAAACCTCAGTCTCTCCAAAATCACACCCAACCTGTCGATTAAAAACCTCAAAATGGCTCTAAGAACGCACCTGTTATTTCCAAACACCCTTCCCCAACCTCCGAAATTCTACCACTGCCCCTTCCCCGCTATCACCAATTTCAGAACCCGAATCCCATGCGCCAACAAAAACAGCTTTAGTGATGCTGATCTTGCATCAGATTTGGCCACAGAAGTTGCGAAAGTAAATAACCATTTGGTGCAGAGAGAAGAGGCCATGAAGAAAAGCAGAGAATTACTTTTCACCGAGCTTTGCAACTATTTGTCTTTGGATAAAGAGGAAGTGAAGAGGAAATGGAACAGAATGGATCAAGAGGAGAAGAGGGTTATGATTAAAGGGTTTGTTAATGAATGGGGTGTCAATTTTCACCCTTTATCTGCTAGGTCGGTCAAAGAAATGATTGAAGAGTATTTACATGAAGAGAAGCCATCTTCAAATTCTTCTGGTTCAATGTTGTTTCCTGGTTTGAAGAGGATAATGGGGTTTGAAGAGTAAGTTCGAATGTTTCAGATAGCATGTGGGCATATCTTGTAGTCATAGAAATTTAATTGGAATGGTTAGTTCGTTGTTTGTTGTTATCTGCTGGATATTGTTTACAATCAAATTTGGCTTCGTTTTGGCTAGTTTGAGAAATTTACTGATTAGTTAAATGTTTGTTATGTATATGGTGTTTCTTCTCTGAAAATTGCTCGCAAATTGGAACTATCATGGTAGACATCTATTGCCAGGTTATTAGAATGGAAATGATGTCTTTAAACATCTGTCATGCAAATTCACGGGAATTCCATTCTGACCCGAGAGATCCATAACCCCTCTGAATCCAGTAAAGCCGCCTCAGCCTCAGCTTATACATTTGGAGCAATAATACCTGAATATAAACATATACTAGCCTCAAAATATCTTTACTTGCGTTCTGCTGTCATGAATTCCACGTTCTGCCACTCTAATCAGTTTGGTTTTCCCCACCTCTATAATAACCATATGATTAATGAAAGAACTAGCCGATCTAGTTGGACAGCCCAACTGAACAAAGTTATATTTGGATAGCAGCGTCCGCTACTTTCCAATGTCATTTCCACGGTACCATCCCTCAATTAACAGAATATGGTCATCGGTTGCAAACACAAATTTCACCTGATTGATGACGCCCGACTTCAGTATTTGTTACAAAAGTGTAAACAATGAGGTCACACGTCCATGATAATCACCTTGTTTTTATGTATTTACATCCATGTACCTGAATTTCAGCAACTGAAATGTCCGAAAATCAAAACATAAATCTGAAAAGAATGTTTATTATATACAGTAACCCACAAGCAAAAAACATATCCAATTCACTCCTACACAGGAAAGAAAATTTTGTCAGAAACATAGCTGCCTGCACTGCGCAGCTGAAGCCTCAGCTGGACAGTAAGGACACTTGAATTGCCGGGAGCTGCCTTTTGATAGCTTCATGATCGACTGCTTGCAGAGAACATGGAGGCAAGGCAGCAGCATCGGTGGATTCTCATCACTGCCTTGATCCCTACTTACAGGACAGACAAAAATAGAATGGAATTGAAATTCCTTTCCCAGCTCTACTGGCACTGGCAACTGTTTCAAAGCCTGCCATTCTTGCTTCTTTGCAGCCATTACGTTTGCCAGCTTCAAAAGAGTAGGCAACCCTTCAATCCCAGCTGCTATTGCCACACTCAATGGGCTCCGAAGGGACTGACCAATGAAGTTGCAGAAATCCCGAGTCAGCTCCTCAGCCAACTTCTCCCAATGGATTGGAGCAAACAGTTCAGAGTGAGGACATTTTTCAAGTCTGCCTATCCACATAACGCAAACTATTAGCTTCTGAAATTCTTTCATGTGACTAGAAGCAAAAGAAGCAAGGTGGGTTTTGGCATAATTGAGGGCATCATCACGATTTCCTCTCTTCAGAATCTCCACAAACTGCAGCTGGTGAAGTTTCAGCTCAAGATTTGAACCATTCAGCATTAGTTTTTCACGGTTGGTAGAGACCCATTTCAGAGCTGGCTCAATATTTTTAATCCTCATTGCCTCAAGTATTTGATGTAGTTCCATGAAATGAGATCTTAGAGCAGCTGCTTCTGGTTCTCCAGCTTCATTTATTAGGCAATCTCCAAAATCAAACAAGCCTTGACGGTAAAAATGACTTGCTATTATCTGATTCACTATATGATAGTCAAAGTCAACATTTCTATATGCCTTGGATATGTCTGGAAATGATTTTTCAAGGATCTTGGGGAACTTGCTAAGATTTAAATTCAATTCCTTCTGTGACACTTCTAATTGCTTGAGCGGACTAGTTGCAATAAGCTTGTGCTTTAGTTCTGTGAGGATGGATTTCTGATCAACAGGAGACATAGAATCTTCAACTGACTGGATTTTTACCAATGCCTGCTCAATTTCATGGCTCAATTGATCGATTACTTCCTGGGATTTAGAAAATGACAATTTTTGCTTCTTAGCTACACGATCAAATGCATCTTTGGCTGTAGTTAGTTCCATTCCTGTAGAAAAAGAAAAGCTAATAACCTCGCTGCTGATTTTACTTAAAAAAATAACATGAAAATTCTAAATCACACTTGCTAATCAATAACCCATCAAAGGAATTACCAATAAAGTACGGAGTACCACATAGATATGAACAACACACTTTAAACTGCAGTATGCAAGATCTAAGAGAATGAAAATTTAATAAAGAAGAAAAAATTAGGTCATTCATATTTTTTGTCAATCAGTCGACAGTGATCGTGCTAGTAATTCACCGCAATCATTTTTCCACCTTTTTGGTTAATTCAGGAAACATATCCTTTTCAAAAAAAAAAAAAAAAGATGAGGGATACAGATAATAGATAATAATTAGGAGATATTCCCACCTAATAACAAATTAGGGTACATACCAAGCCTATTAATGTTGTTAGAACACAAATCATAGATAGCAATTACAAGGTCACCCAAGTAGCCAAAACTCACAATAAAAATACTGAACAGCTGATACACTGACGAGTAATGAAAGTCGTCAACTGTGGGTGGAGACATGATTTGGAAAATATGGCTGAAACAACACTGTAAAACCTTCCCTTCATGTTTCTTATCCTTTTTCCCTCTTTCTATTTTTAAAGGTCAAATATACATTAATTGAATGATTGGTGTAAGTCCACTTTAATAAGAGGCATACTGGAATAAGAAGAGGGAATTGCTTGGCGTGTGGCAGGCAGAGGACTGTTATAGTCGGTTACTACTCAAAAAGTCTATGAAAATGAAAGAATCATCTGCCCGCTTAAAGCTACAAAAATTCAAAGCAACCAAGATGTAGAAAATGCATAAAAACAACAGTTTGCATGAACTTCCTACATAAACGAATAACAACAGGAAGTTTAAGATACAATAAACAACTTCAATCCACCTTGAGATCAATAATCATTTCATCAACTACAATGATAAGCGACAACGGAATAGTAATAATAATCATCCATGCTGAATACGAATCCACTCTTGGAAACCAAAAACTAATAAAACAATGAGAAATACCTTCCTTAATCCCCGACAATATGCTTCAATCTACTCTCTGCAATCAAATTAAACACTCCGTCACTAGACTATAAAAACACAATCACAGCAAAATCAAAGCAAATATACACACAAACAGACTAATGAATAACGCCATAGCATAACCTAATACATACTCAATTGGACAATTTTCCTTTTTGTTTTTTACATATAATTTTAACAATTTAAAAGTAGAAATGAAAGAAAAAAATGAAAGTACCTATTGAAATAAGAGAAAAAAGAAAACGAAATTAAAGAGAAAACAAGAAGCAAAGAACAAACTGCTATGTGAATGATATGACAACAGATCACATTTATTTATAACGAGTGGGGATCTTTGCAATCAAAAGATTAAATTTTGAAATTGGCCAAAATCAAAATCAAAATTTAATTTCAACAAAGATTGAAAAAGAAAAAGAAAATGGCGTTACCTGAGGAATATTATTAGCTAGAGGAGACTGCGAGAGCGAGAGAGAGAGAGAGACTCTCGAGAAAGAGAGAATTAGTGAGCGTGGGAATCGAGAAAGAAACCGGTAGGAGGACTCCGTTGGAGAAACACGTGTATGTTTAGATTTCTTTTGGACGAGATTGCCCTTATTTTATTTATTATTTACCATTTATATATTCCCCAATCACACGGGTTTTAAACCTTTTTTTGGACGAGATTGCCCTCATCTTATTTCTTATTTACCATTTATATATATTCCCCAATACCAAGGTTTTAAACCTTTTTTTTTTTTTTAACGGATTACATTTAAGTTATTCTTAAAATATTTTTGCCAGCGGAGATACGACAGTTATTCAAGACCTAAATAAAGATGGAGTTAATGCAACAAAATAGACATAATGATGTCTTAACAATTCAAATAAATCATGGTAACTAAATAAACGTAGAGAAAAAAGGTGAAGTCCAGCAATATGATTAGACGATTCTATAGGTTAAAAAAAAAAGAAAAAAAGAAAAAAGAAAAAGAAAAAATAGTTATTAATGAATAGAAACTGAAATTCCCAGAAAATATCGTCCAAAAGGAACGAGCCAATGACAGCCCAAATGAAGAAAATGCAGTAATCATTGATTATTGAGAACAGAAGACCTATAAAACCTTTGCGCAATTTGTTAACAGATTCAAGAATTTTCAACTGGCAAAGACAGTTGTACAAGAAAAGGCTGCATCGGAAGAACAGTATCACAGTAAAAGCATGGAAGACAATGATGCAGTCTCATTGTTGAAGATGATGGACTGGTGAGCTGAAGCTGAGGTGGATGACAGCCTAGAAGATTAGTTAGCTCACAAGTCACGTGGCTGGTAGTTAGTTAAGAGATAGCCAGCTGTTACAATCTGTTAGAGAGGTTAGTTAGGGGAAGCATATAACAGAGAATTAGTGAGAGATTGAGTATCTTGGATCATTTGTGTCAAATCTCTTTCTGATTTCTCTCTATTCTCCATCTGAGCCTTTCTGTTTCTGTTCTTAGTTAAGCAATAAAGCTACTGATTCTTCAATTCTTCTGTGCTCTTCTTGTTCTGGAAATTGAGCTTGCATCAGACAACCACAAGAATGACTTGACGTCTTGAAACTAGGTATAAATCTGTGAAATAACTACAAGAATAACGAATCACGCTCCTTATTCCTCATCAATTAGGACAATCCCTTGTTAATTTTCAACTGAATTCCTCCTCTCCTGACTGTAGATTACTATAGAGCCAAAAAAAAAAAAAAAAAGGATGACAAGCCACAATTGAGGATAGCCGCCCCGTATTCTCTCTCTAAAAATCGGTCTAAAAAGAATCTATTATTCTGTTTCAATGGATAGTAGCACAGGAAGAACTCGCCAGGAACATTCCTTTTGTGCAGCAAAGTGGAATTGTACCCTTTTATGAAGAGCTCACTTCTTGGTTCTTTCCATTTTTGTTCGAACTGCATCCAAAATTATCTCCGTCTCAAGGTCAAACATTCTATTGACAGCATGCATAATCTCAAGCATATCTTCTGGTTTTTGGCAGTCACTCCTCCCATCACATCTTAGGTGCTGCATTGGACCATGAAGGAACTTCTTCATCATACCCATGCTAAGGTCATAAATAGCTTTCTTCTGTTTATCTGTAATATCACCCATCTTTGACAAACATTTATCCAGTTCGGAAGATCTAATCCTTTCAAGATAAGCTCGTAGTTTCTTAATGGTAGGAACAGCCTCAAGGGAATCCTTCCAAGCTTCAAAGTGCTGCAATTCCTCAGAAATAATTGCTCGGGCTTCCATAGCTTTCCGGAGCCGATCCTCCTTATTAGCTGCCACAACATCCTTGAGATCATCCACGTTGTAGACTTCTGCTGTCTCAAGATCTGAGACACATGGTCCTACATTCCTTGGAACTGAAATATCAACGAAAAGCCGCTTTCCCATTTCCGTGTCCATGGGGAGTGTTTGTATGTGCTCTTTCAAGAACAGAGGAGCCTCTGATGCAGTGCTTGTGAAAATTACATCTGCTTCAACAGCACATGCCATCATTTCTGAAATGGGCTTATAGATGATTTGAATATCCTTAAGCTCTTCACGGATTACAGCAACTTTCTCCTCAGTTCTGTTCACAACCACCATTTCTTTGCACCCTTTGGCAGCCAAGTGTTTGATCACAAGCTTCCCCATTTTGCCAGCTCCAATAACTAATACCCTAACAGTAGCATATGAAGACTCTGGAAGCTTCATTAATGCAAGCTCTACAGCAGCTGAACTAACAGAAACTGACCCTGATGAAATGTTGGTTTCAGTTCTAACCCGTTTCCCAGTAATGATTGCATGCTCAAACAACCCACCGATTTTCTTATTGAAGCCAGCAACTCCTTGTCCAAGTTTTTTAACTTGCTTCACCTGAGCAAGGATTTGACCCTCTCCTAGAACAATCGAGTCGAGTCCAGAAGCTACTTCAAATAGGTGTCTTGTGGCATCTTTATTATACAACATAAATCGGTGTTGGCAAAGCTCTGAAACAGGAACCCCACTAATCTGTCAAAAGAAAAATTGTCAATGATGGACCATGGTTGACATTGAATAATTTAATTTGATATTTTCCTAGGAAGAGGCATCCTTATTTATGATTGATGCATGTGGAATCATATCAAATACATTTGCAAAGAATTTTGAAAAGTCTATATACATTAAGAAATGCTAGGAATATTCCAATATTAGTAGGATAGGCAGAATTTGGAGCAGGATGAGCTGGGTCCATTCAAACAGATGCCAAACAGACACAATTTAAAGGTATTTCATCTCTCTTTCATGCTCTGTTTGAAAATTCTTAAGAAGCACCAAAAACGGCAAACAAGTACCTTAGACATCCATTCAGTCACTTCTTTAACTCCACGATGTTGAGACAGAGCCACAACATATATTTCCATTCTGTTACAAGTGCCAAGAACAGCAGCTTCTTCTATATGATTTAAAGCACAGAGCTCACTAATGGCTTGAGGCCATTGGGCTTCTGGAATGGCGAGTTTCTCACGGACATCAACTGGTGCTGTGTGCACATTAAGTCCAATGACAATAATGCTGCTCTTTTCCTTTGTATATCCTGATAAAAGGCATTAATGTTTCAGCAATTACCATCGATGAATAATTGCCAGATAGGATTAGCAAGGAGGCATACAAGAACAAAGAAAATACAAACACACAAAAAAAAAAAAAGAAAAAAAAAGAAGAAACTAATGGCTACAGATAAAAGAAATTTGAGATTTAATTGAGACCATTAAAGCACAGCAGCAAATAGATGTCAATACAACCAAGAAGGATGGTACCAACAAATTCAGCACTTGGGAATCACACGTCAAAGCTTCTTCAGGATTGGTTTAACCTTTTTTTGCTAGCTATTGACATCACACTCATCCAAACCCACCCAAGCAAACTATTCATCTAAATACATACAGAATTAACTAATCCTTTTTAAGTAAAATAAATTCTTGAAACCATGAATATTGCTGCAAAACATCCTCTCTCTCTCTCTCTATATATATATATCGAAGATGCTTTGCATATATTAAAAAAAAAAAAAACACTAAAACCCTCCCGTGTCATCAAAATCAGTTTACAATCCTGTCAATTAATCATTAGTACCATATAATGTTCACATCACCACCAGCATTATTATCTCATTCTTTTCTAATAAAGCTAAATTCCACTACCTTACAAGGTTTTGAATTCCATACTTCTAAATAGAAAATAATTTGCGCAAGGAAAGAAAAAACAGCCTTTTTGCACCACATAATAAAATGAAGCACACGCATTATCCAATTCCACACAATCGAAACTCAAAATTCAATAAAGAAGGCGAACTCACTGTCAATTGCAGAAGCCTTGAGTTGCTCAAGCGCCATAACACTCGATCTCTTCAATTCCTCTTTATCGATTGAATTCTTCTGACTCACACTTTCACATCTCACACAAAGTCTTTGATGTAAAGCCGATGCCCTTCTATTGTTCAGGGGTTTATAGAAGGTCTGCAATTGAGAGCGAAACGCAGGCGATTGACGGAGGTCAGAATTTGATTGTGCAGAAGAAGCAAAAGAGGTGGCGAAACCGCCCGCCGCCACCGCCATCGGTGAAGAAGAGATCGAGGCGGCGACAAGAGAGTTTGTAAAATTTGATCCCTGCGTAATGAGAGTACAATTTGGTGGTAGATCAGAGAGGTGAGGAAGAAAGGAATATAACTTTTTAAATTCTCTGTTGGGTTAGGCCTTCTGGGGAGGGGATTTGGTGGCAAAAAACAACTACTACTAATTTAACAAGTGAACGGGTGTTATAGGCACGTTGCGTTAGTCTTTGTTTGTGTTACAACAACTACTAGTATGACTTTTTCCAACATAAAAAAGGAGAGAAAAGGAAAAGGTCGGTTTAGGCAGGAGGAAAACGGGATTGGAAATTGGAAATAGGATACTTACGCGTTTTGTCCACACGCCCACCATGGACTTCTCTAGGGAATTAGGAAAGGTCAGCTGTGTTTTTTTTTTGGTACCAAAAGGTCAGCTTTTCGATTCTTTTTTATAGCCACCATGGTTTTGTTTTTAATCAATCAAAATTTTCAATTGTAGAAGTCAAGAAAGGCAGTGGTTGTTTTTTTTTTTTTTTTTTTTTTTTTTTAATTGTCCCTCAACTATGCTTTAACAAACAACAACGTAGGTTGTCTGAATGATATCATATGATGTATTTTTGGATTTTCGAAGTTTAACATAAAAGGTAAGTGAGTTTGCTTCTTTTGTTTTTTACTATTAGAATTCAAATACTAGAAAAATTATAAAAATAAAAATAAAAATTATGATTTATATTTATATCAATTTATAGGTAGCACCCTAGATAAAATTCAAAGTTCAACTTGTAATATACAATCCTAGATAGAACTCTTCTTTTTCCCCGATAACATCTTAGATAGAACTTAGGCTCATAGAGATTAAATTTCATCTGCGTTCGGACTCGTGATTAATTAGTAATTAGTAATACTATAATGCTGATGATAGTAATTATGATGATGTCAAATTCCATATTAATATTTCAAATTAATCTAGAAAAAATCGGAAAACGGCTATCCAAAGAAACAATGAGCCCAGTAACACTCACAGAAAAGTAAACAATCGAAAAGACAAACAGGTAAGGCCGATAACCTTTTATGGGCCTTCTGGCCCCACAGCCCAGTGCCCAACAATTCCTTCTTTTTCAAAATTACCAAACTGGAACTGGTCTAAAGGAACTAATTAGGAAAACCTTAAAAACAATATCCATCCAAACAAAACCTCATCGCTCTCTGTCTCTCTCCAATGGGCCTTAACGTCCTCAAACCATCACCACTCTCCTCCACCAAAACAATTCTCTACTCCACACCAACCAAACCAACCCTCTCGAAACTTCTCTCTCCACTCCACTCTATTCCCAACTCCTCTGCCCAAACCCACTTCAAATTTTCATCTCCAAAACCAACTGCACACTCCATTTCACCTACTGCTTTTGTTTGGTCAATTTATCAAACCAAGCGTCAGTTTCGTGGTGGTGGGGTCATAGCCATGGCTGCTTCTGGGTCCGTCCAGAAGTCTGAGGAGGAATGGCGTGCTGTTTTGTCCCCAGAGCAGTTTCGGATTTTGAGACAGAAAGGCACTGAGTAAGATTCTTATTTGTAACCAAATTTTGATTTTTTTTTCTTTTTCTTGTTGTTTTGTGACTTGATGTTCTGGTTGACTTTTGAGGAATTGTTGGCACATTTTTCTTTTTGCTGTTTCATCCTGCTTTTGGGTTTGATTAACTTATTAGCAATTGAAATTAAAGTAACTCATCTGAATTATGCTCTTTGTTCAGGTAATTCAGTTGAATTCTGTTGTTTGAGACGTTCTCAGAAATAATCTCTATTATTGACCTTTCGAATGTTATCCCTTTTGAAATGCATGTAAAATCCAGTGTGCATGAAAAACTTCCGAGAATACGATTGCACAAAAGAGCATTTGGTTTTTACATTTTTTTGGAGGCGTGATGGTTTATTAAATGTTTTCGGGTTTGTTTTCTTGATTCATGGCTCATGATGTTCAGTTTTAAGAACTTATAATGATGTTTTTAACTTCTGGGGCTGATTGGCATTAATATAATACGGGATTAAGGAGTTTGTAGCAAAAAAAAAAAAAAAATTGTGAGAAATTTAGAGAGAATTGAAGACTGAATTTTGAGGAACAAAAGATATGAATATTTGTCCAGCAGGTAAGAGATTGTGAATATGCGAGATTTTAAGAAGCTTGGGCAACAAAAGTTTCATAACCTGCTATGGAATTCCTTCACAACAACGAAACCCTGGAGCAATAGAAGTATAGCCAACCGGTTAGGACTGGTTAGAGGAATCTATTTCTCAAATTTTTCCTTAGACAGCAAGGTACAGTGTATGGTAGCAAATAGAACAGTGAGCTAGAGTACAGATATGTTTTATGTTCTGTTCTGTGATTTGCCAAAGCCAGTGATCCATTGCTTGGTTGAGAGTGAAAAAGGTTAATTGAATTATGCCTTGGCAACTAGCATGTAGCTTTTATTGCTGTCTTTCAGTTGGACGAGTGGCTTTTTACCATTTTCACATGCTGCTGTCAGGATGATCATAGATTTGGTGAATTGGCAATACCAAAAATTTTACATTTTGGGTGTTGCTAACTTTGCTGGATGTCATGTTGATTGCCACGACTGCCAGAGGCAGGAGGGAAGGGAATGGGATAGCTACACAAAAGGATGAGAGGCAGAAGATGGGTGGTAGTCAGGATAATATTAGGAGATTAGAACTTGGAATTTTATTCTTGGATTGGTTTGAATTAGCTGTTATGAAGATCTCAAATTTTCCTTTATTCTGTCTTGGTTCCTCAAGAATGAAATGAAAGACTACAGACACACATTAGAATCTCTGAATTAGTCAGGATAATATTAGGAGATTAGAACTTGGAATTTTATTATTGGATGCGTTTGAATTAGCTGTTATGAAGATCTCAAATTTTCCTTTATTCTGTCTTGGTTCCTCAAGAATGAAATGAAAGACTACAGACACACATTAGAATCTCTGAATTAGTCAGGATAATAGTAGGAGATTAGAACTTGGAATTTTATTATTGGATGGGTTTGAATTAGCTGTTATAAAGATCTCAAATTTTCCTTTATTCTGTCTTGGTTCCTCAAGAATGAAATGAAAGACTACAGACACACATTAGAATCTCTGTCTATTCTACAACAACAACTAAGCCTTAATCCCAACATAGTTGGATCGGCTACATGAATCCTTTTGTACCATCCGCTCTATCATATACAATCTGCCTAATCTAGCAGGATGAAATTTCTATTACTAGATGAGGTGCATAATGGTCAAGTGCTTTTGAATGAATCCTGTGGATGTTTCTCAATGAAGCTATTGACATTTTATGATTTATCCGTTGTGATTTTTCACATGTTTTGGGTGCTGTGCAGGTATCCTGGCACAGGGGAATATGACAAATTTTTTGAAGAGGGTGTCTACAATTGTGCAGGATGTGGAACACCTCTCTATAGGTCAACAACAAAATTTAATTCCGGTTGCGGTTGGCCAGCTTTCTATGAGGGTCTTCCTGGAGCCATAAATCGCAATGTGAGCTCTTTAGCTCTACTAGCTCCCCCTTCTTCTTCTACCATTCTACATCAATTTATTTCATGAGATATTAACGATCGTGGCATTTATTATCAGCCGGATCCGGATGGTATGAGGATTGAAATTACATGTGCAGCTTGTGGTGGACATCTGGGCCATGTATTTAAAGGCGAAGGGTTTCAAACTCCTACTGATGAACGCCATTGTGTCAATAGCATATCACTCAAGTTTGCTCCTGCAGACTCTTCTCAGTGAAACCTAATGGTGTGGTTAGTTCATGGTCAAGCATGTTCAGTGCCATTGGTTCAGTATAAAACACTGCAATAATGTTGTGTGAATCCAAATAAAAACTAACGCTATTACTGTTACTTATAATTTCCCGTGGTACCTGCTTATGATAGTTTTGGAATAAAGAGAATTCTGGCATTTTGCCAATGTGCTTCTTGTGTTGTGAAGATGAGACATCGCAGCCAGAGCTATGATCTCAGCTTCTTCCTACGTGGAAGATGAATAGAGGTTGCTGGAGAAGATAACTGTAAATTAATGCTAAAAGTTTTATATTTTGCAATTAGAAAATTTGCACACTTCCACTTCAGTTAATGTGTTGAGATCAGTTTTAAGGCATACCACAGTGTTCGATAAAAAAAAAAAAAATTAATTAAGCAATTTTTCGTTTAAACAAAGGTGTAATAGGCTTGTTTATTGAGCATGCTGGGCTGGGGTTGATAGTTGCAGAGGGCTCCTCCCCCCCCCCCCCCCCTCTTCATGTTACTATCTAGAGACAAATCTAAGCCCATAAAGAAATTTTATAAAAAAATATTTTTATTTTCTCTATTTTAATATTTTATTTATTTTTAATATTTAGGTAGAATGATTGGATATATTTTTACCCTTTTTTTATCTTTTTTAAATTTATTTATTTAAATTTGATAAAAAAATTTAAACGAAAAAATAAAATAAATGGATAAGATTAATATGTAAAATAAAATAATAATAATAATAATAGATGAACGAAATTAAGATAAAAATAAAAGATGAATTTAAAAGGAAAAAAGTATAGAGACACGATAATAATAATAATAAAAAGTAAAAAAATCTACAGAATAAACTCTGCTGGATTGTGTCTTGTGAATTTGTATGACAAAAGAAAACTTGCCTTTGAATTACAGAGCGATGATAATTGTCTCTTCTTAAAAGTTTAAATGAAAAAAAAAAAAAAGAAGGCAAACACCCAATACGTCACGATAATTTTATTTTTTTTAAAAAAATCTACAATTACTGAAATTATTATCGAAATTTCCTTCTCTTTTTGACAATAAATAAAAATAAATTTCTGGTGCAGATAATCATAGTCGGGATTAGAAATCTGCCAATCCGCCACGTGGACATTTCGTGCGTAAAATTTTCAGTTTACAAAACATCCACTTGACAAAATGACGAACCAGAAGTTCTTCTTGGCCACACGCCTTT